AAATGCCAAGATGAGCAAGGTCTGTGGCTCGCAACAAGCTCGCTTAGATGGGTTGTGCTATATAGTGTAAATGGAAAATAAATAACTGTCCGATCGGCTCCTCGGTAGCCGAGTGGGGAGCCTACTTGGGTTCTGCCTATGAGGTCTCGGGTTCGATCCCCAGTTGGGTCGATGGATTCGCACTGCTGATGAGACCCAACCAGATCGAAACAGCTGTCCAGTGCTTCCTAGATTTTTAGTTCACACCTCATTTGCTATATATACGACGAATACACCTTTGGAATAGGATTAGTTTCTGTTTCAATTTTTACAACCACTAACCCTGCCCTTTCCTGCGCCGGTTTTGGTTGCTGTCTTTTGGCTGCTCATGAAGAATGAAGCTTGGTATGTTGCGATCAGAGTCAAAGGGAAGATAGAGAATTCATATAGACTACAAGAATATTGAGTAGATGCATGAGCGCTACTGTTTGCGACACTCAGCCATATCAAGCAGTGTCTCTATCACCGGTTTCCCTGATCTCGGGGACCCCTATTCAGGAAGCCTAAAGGGACCTATTTGACCCAGTGTCCTGGTTAGGGCACCATCACTTCAGTTCAGATTAACAAATCAGCACGGAGCTCGATCGGAGGGACTCATGTGGTACTGAACGGACGATGATAGAGCCACGGTACAGCAAATTGCACCTGTGGTAATGCGATTCAGACACACGTCGTTCAGGTCACTGATAGCGACTCAGTCGGTTCGACTACAGAGCAGACCACTAGTCGCTGCCAAAAAAGTTGAAACGTGATTGAACATGTATCACACTTTTTGTCTTTTCTCAAGTCATTTTATCCTTACATCCGAGAACAGGACTGGCAGAGTAAATTCTGCAATCTGTCAGTCCTTTAGTGATTTATAAAACACCAATAGTATTGAGTGACCGAATGTTAATGTTATCAAATTATTGCCTCAGAGGTTGTGTTCGAATCCCAACGCCACCGCCCGAATTCCTCGTTTGCATTGTATGTCAGCCATTTGATTGGCCACTTCCCCCTTCCTGAAAATGAAGTAGAAATAAGAAGTATGTTGTTCAAATTACATTGTTTTTGGAAGAATTGCAGAAGATATTTCATGTGATTTGATTGAGTGATGAATGATCAATCACCTCTGTGTGGTTCGAACCCGCCAACGTAGTTATGCAATGTACGCCTCACCTGTTGATCTGAGAGTACAGCTCGACATTGGCGTGGGTAGCATTCATGTGTGAGTCTGTGAGTCCTAAAGGGGCTTAAAATCGTTTTACTATCCAGTCAGTGAGCGAGTTGGCAGATACCAATTTAGAAAAGTATTTTTACACAATTTTGTCCCATGAAAACTGAACCTTGTACAACCAGAGTAATAACTGTAAGAGCCTTCCACACACTGTTTGTACTATGCAGTCTATACCCACTTTTGATTGCAACCATTGGACGCTTGAAAAAATGCATTTTATGAGCGTGTCGGTAGTGAAAAAGTAATAATTTTCCGATAACTTAGTCACACTGCAAAAAATTAACTATTAGCAATGACAATATAAGGTAGTGGGACTCATTTTTCTCACAGTCGGAAAAAGAATACAATCCAATTTTCCGTTTGAAACGAAATTAAATAGTGGGGGAAATTAGTTCGCTTATTTTGAATTGAGTGCATCCGTCCACTCTCTCTGAAGTGTTACGCTCAAACACATCATGGAAGGAGATCCTAGTGATTATTATTATTATTGTTATTATTTTTATTGTTACTGATGAAAAAACTCGCTTTTCGATGTAAACTGATTGGATGTGACACCAGTGTTATTTTGTTGCTACCTGTGTTCCATCTCGAAAGAGAGAATGCCTTGATCTTCGGTGGAAGAAACTGACATTGTTAAAACTACCGTCGAGTTGTATTGTATCGTATTGTGTATAACTTTTACAAGCACTGGGACTCACATTTCAGTTTAAATAAACTGGGAGAAAATGTTTACAGACTTTGGGACATTTCATAATCCAAGGTTACATCCAAGGGTTACATGGTTTCCCCTAATACCCAAGTGGCGCAATTAATCGAGTTCAATCTGTTCAAGCAAATCAGCTCTGTCCTAGTATAAATTACACTCAAACATAAGGCAGCTGCGTCGTACACTCATCAGAGTGGTCAGATAGATAGAATGATTGTATGACCGTCTTGCCACTAAAACAGACAACATAAAATGGCTGTTAGCGTAAGCAAATCAACTCACCCCGGACGATGTCTGGAGGGTGTGCTAACATGATAGCTCAGTAACACCTGCCCAATGCAGTACGTTACATCAAACATGCATAAAGAAGAACTGGAATAGAAACACAACCAATGAGAGGTTCACAGACATTTTTCCTGCCAAATGAAGGCTTGCAACTAGTGGCAGCACGAAGCCACATCCCCCTGGCATGCGAAAGTAGACCGGTAAGCAGGATACAACCCAGCTCTTTAACCCATCCATGAATACACGCTGTTTTCAAATCATTATGGTGGTAATATGTGGTTGGAAGCTCGAGAAAAACGACGGAAATTCATAAAGCTCATCAACCGGAAGACAGGCCCAAATGGTCATCTGCTATGTTGTATCCACTGTTATGCATACTATCATCAAAAAGGGTCCAGATAAAGCAGTCTAATCATTAAATCTACGGTTTACGCTGAGATGAATGACTTGCGGGGATATTGAGTACGTGGAACACTCAGGCCGTAAACTTGAAGATGGAATCCTCAACTCGGGTGATGCAATGGCACATCGATACCACCCGAATCGGGTGGGTTCAATGGAGAATGCTAAAAGAGAACCTCATTAATAATGCCATCGATCAAACTGTTTCCGGTGCTCAGACGCATGCTGACTGGAGCATAAAAATAGATCATTTAACGATAAGTATATCGCAGACGGTGGTCGATTGAATGCTACAGTTGAAATATGTTGTGCTGTAATGGGAGAAAATTTGCATTTAACACAAAAAAATTCATCGGAAGCATTATTTCGAAGAATAAGGATTTATATGCTGAATTTTGTCGTGTAAAGAGCAGATGAAGCGGGACCAGAGAAACTGGGAAGCCCTGAACAGCTGTTTCGACCAGTAATGTGAATCTATTGACCAAACCGGGGGTCCACCCGGGACCTTGGAGGTAGTGCGCAAGCAAACTATCCAATCCACCACCGACCGGGTAACTGATCAGTCCGTTTTCCATTTTCCTTATACACGAATGGAGATTTACTTGAGAGGGCAGAGTTGGAGAATGCGCTGAACCGAAATAGTCCAGCACCGCTTTTTGATAGTCGAAGGTAACTATAGAATCTGACGCAGCAAGGATGAAGAGGGAAAAGTTCAATATACTTACTAATTTCGAAGTGAGAAGCTTATTGGCAAACTAATTTGGAATGAATCGTCTTCCGGACATCATAATCATTATTCCATTTGATACCACTTCCAACAAAAGGAAGCACCCTTGGATTCTGGTCTGTGTTTAGAGATTAAGGAGTTAATTGACCGAAAACTATGTGGATTTCAATCGTTAGCATCTCTCAGTATATCACGAAATATTCTGTGTAGGAATGTTGAGATCATGCTAATGGAGTCGATCAGTTACTGGAATGAGTCATAATCACGCGATGAACTGAAATATGAATTTACTGTTGTGTTTGGTTAGAAAACGTCATCTTTTATAATGAATAACTATCCAATAGAATCGATATTGGAATACAAATTTTTAGGCCACATAGGCAAGGTGTTTAGTGATGATTTATTGATTGACGAAATAAGGATGATTCCATGAGAGTATAAGAGGATTTGATTCAATTTCATCGAGGGAATTCGTTGTGTGTAGCGCAAGTGAAGCGTGAACTAAAAAGCTAGGAAGCACTGTACGGCTGTTTCGATCTGGTTTGGCCTCATCAGCAGTGCGAAGCCATTGATCCAACTGGGGATCAAACCCGGAACCTCACAGGTAGAACGCAGGCATGCTACTCACTGGGCCACCGAGGAGCTCATCAGACCGCTTTTCATTTTCCATTTTCCATTGAGTTATATCGTGTAAAGTGTTCTGCTCCATAAAGGCCTTCTGATTGTCAGTCAGTTAGTCAGTCAGTCAGTCAGCTGCAGTCAGTCAGTCAGCTGCAGTCAGTCAGTCAGTCAGTCAGTCAGTCAGTCAGTCAGTCAGTCAGTCATGGTGATGTGTCCCAAGAAAATACCAGGCTTCCGATGTTTGAAAACAGCTTTAAATGACCAATTGGTTGAGGCAGCGAAGCTGAGATATTTTCATAGATAGCGCAAAAACATAGGAATAGCTCCGTAGAAAAATTGAATCCTATTACTCGGATAATAATAGGATAATTCTTCTGGTTATTTTTTAAAAGAGTTGATAAGGATTTATTTTGATAACTACCTATCATACAGCTACCCACACATTACTCACAGCTTATTTTCTTTATTGAGAGATAACATGAAATAAAGTATTCAGATTGATGAAAAATAAAAAGCAGTCAACTAAAATAAAAATAGCATATCAAGATCTGAAAACGGAAATTTTAAAGTGTTTGTTTATAAAACTGCCTGAACAGAATGCTGTATACGATACTGAGTCTACACCGGTATGGATTGTCGGTTGATAATCTAACTCAACGATTCCAATACCAGGGTTGTCATATTGCAGAGGTATGAATTATAGAACGTGAAAATTCTTATCTTTGAAGCCAATTCGCTAATATATCAAGGACGGAATGTTTGTTAAAATATAAACCTGAATTCATGAAGAGTTAAAAATGTACATGGAACCAAGAAATTTGACTACTAACAGCAGATAGCATATAAGGCACTGAATAATGTGAAAATGGAACTACTTGATCATATCTTATCAGATTACATTCATTCATATCAAATCCAGCTTTTGTTCACCATACGCCTGATTTTGTTTAAACACACCAAAGTTACACATCACCATAGTACCGACTCTTTTTTAGCCAATCAGAATGACGGAAACTTCTGCGCTGTCTGATATACAAGTGGTAGAGGCGGGTTATGTGGACTCAGACGAAGACGTGCCAATGGCTGAGAAGGATCTGGCTGAGGATGCACAATGGAAGATTATACAGAAAAATACGTTTACGCGATGGGTAAACGAACATCTAAAGAAGGCTAATACTCACATTGATGACTTGGAGACGGATTTCTCCGATGGATTGCGTTTAATTGCGTTGATCGAAGTTCTCACACATCATAAATTCCGTCATATAAATAAACGACCGACATTCAGAACTCAAAAATTGGAAAATGTAACTACTGCTTTGAATTATCTTGAAGAAGTGGAGGGTCTGCGTTTAGTGAGCATCGGTATGTTTTTCTGGGCTTTGGATTTAATGAAAGCCTACAGATAGCAGTCATATTGTGGATTGCAATCTGAAGCTCATCCTCGGTCTGATATGGACTCTTATTATGCATTATTCTATTTCTCTGCCAATGTGGGACGGTGATGATGAACGAGCCCAGGTAATGATCCTTTCTGTCTTGCGCGTCTGTTATTTCTAGTCTGATAATTTACTATGGTTGTTTCATGTTTTTCGGGGCTGTATTCAGGGGTATATTTTGTTGAAAACTGTATTCTACGGGGAATCCACTGTACCATATATGTCTGTATATAGTAGTATAGATGTGTAGCAAATGCCAGTAACCTTTCTGAAAGTAACGTAAATGCCGATCTGAGTTTTACTTGTCCCTAATACACTAGAACTCGTTTCGGTTGTCTCTGTGTCTTTTTGATTTCTTATTTATTTATTGAATATACAAATATGCAGACAACTTTCAGGAAGGGAGCTGCGGCCATGCATGGGGATATACAGAAATAGGGAAGACGTGCGGTGGTGCAGGAGTTCGAACTCGGGAATTCCGAGTCAACATTTGGTGACCTAACCACTTGGCCCCGGCCGACCCAGGATAGAGAACCGTTAAGGTTCAAACCACGTCCACCTTACTTATATTCTCGATAATCTACGATTGTCAGAACATTTTTGAGAGTAATTTAAAAATCCCCGAATAGGGTATTGTGTCCATGCTGCTTATGACAACTGCCAGTTACAACAGAAAAAATAACATCTAACTACAGGAAATCCCAAGTTTTTTTCCTGTAATGAAGTTTTGCTTATACAGCAACTTCATCCTCTTTTCACATAAAATTATTGCTTTGATGATCACCTCGTTCTAACCAGTTAGGAAGAAAGGTTTCTTATTCCTAAGGGGTGGCCTTGACTTGGAATATGCCGACGACATCGCCTTGCTGGGTGACAACACACAGGCAGTCCAAGACACTTTGAATCGCTTGACGATCGAGGTATCCGGGTATGGTATGTAGTTTGCACCTTCCAAGGCAAAGTGCTTGTTCAAGACTGGCAGGAGC